GATTCCAATTCTCCAGTACTTTATATACTCCTTAATGTTTCTTAAACTTTCTTTTCAAATTGCAATCACAATATGTAATGTAGTTCTGACTCCATTGAAGATGTTGAGCTATGTTTCATTTGTGCCAAAACATGTTATATAAAGCCTTCCGTTAGTGATATTTCCACCTCTGGGCCAGAAGGTTGTGGGAATGTTGGGAATCGAGTCATAGACTATCCTTGCCAGTGCAGTATTGGGTGCATATAAATGCAAGTTGTTGTGTTGTTATTCTTTTAATAGTAAACAAGGATGGCATTTTCATTTAAAAAGACTGGCATTAGAGGAATTAATGAAACCCTCAGCATGAAAATGCTGAATTAACACATAGGGGGGATTGCATGAAACTGCCTGTGTCAGTCAGGAGCTCTGTTATTTCAGCTAGTGAGCTGATCATTGTAATGATCATCAATTTCTCTTCTGTCCTGCTCCCCACTCCCCTTTACTCAATATCCAACCCGATCTCTGTAAAATTCTCTGAGATGCTATCTGCATGAAGGGCACTGGCGAAATAAATTCCAATTATTATTGTTGATGTTGATCTTCAACCCATTTCTCTGAGAATCTCACACACTGAATTAAAAAATCAATAACAACAAGAAACAGATGGATGTTGATATCAGAATCTCTCCCACCTCTCAGTAAATACTCCTTTCCAAAACCAAAAATGTTACATTCATCATCATTTGTTTTTGTTATTCTGTTGAAGTTTTTCAATAACATATAAAACAATGAGATCTGTGGTGAAGTGGGAGTCTTTGATACTGATGTTGTTGTGAAGCTGAATATCATCAGAGACACTGCACAGCAATTAACCTAGAGAAGTTTAATTTAAGCTGCATGTATTAATGATGTTTTTACATGGTCAAGTTTAATAATTTTCCTATGATTAAAACTCCCCTGATGATCTGGTGAAATGCCTTTAGGGCGTAAGAGGGAGAGATTAGAGAAGAACTGGCTGCAAAAAAATTCCACATTAGTTTTTAAAGAAAACTGGATGGAGACAAAAACAAACAACTTTAAATAATGATAATTATTAGGAACCAATTCTCTTTCTGTTTAATGCTTTGAGTGCTGCCAATGAGTTTAATGATGGATTCATGATTTCTCTGTGTTTGGAGAAAGGCTAGCACATTGACTTGTATTTCCTATTTCATACATAACGTTCACATCAATAATCAACCTAAAGCCATACGTCAAGGCAACCTGTACACTAACTGAAATACGTTACATAAAATACAATTAGGAGGGAAGGATTAAAAAATATTTTACAGGTCCTGTACCATATCAAAAAGAGCTTTGCAGGTATTTACTGTGAAGTGTAGTGACTGTATTAGTTGGCAAACCAGAAGACATGTGCCAATTTGTCCCCACTTTGCAGAACTGTATCTTGGGAGTCCCTCCAACTCGCTCCCTCCCTCAACTTGTTCAAGATCCATCTCTTTGACCACTCTTTCAGTCATCTTTCTCTCTCCCCGCACCCCACCCCTAGTTCGGATGCCAAGCTAGGATTGTTAAACGCCCTAGGATGTCCTCCCAACCTGAAAGATGCTATATAAATGTAAATTTGTATTGTATTGTAGCAGCTAGGCCCCTTAAACAGCCATGAGGTGAGCACTGAACCAATATTGAAACTTGTTTACCACCACTAATAGAACAGAGATACACCAGGGAGAAAACATATACAGTATAGTTTTCAATCAAACTGAGAAAAACAGGGAAGAAAACAGAATTGAAGGGAAATGGGACGAGACAAGCACAGGTAAAGTATTTTGAATGTTTTTGTTTTTAATTATTATATGTGTTTCAACATTTAAATTTTAACTGTCTCTGGTTAATATTACCGTAATAAAACAGCCCTGTTTTTTGGAGTGTTTTTGTTATTTTAATAATGTTTCTTCAGCAACATGTTTTGTGAGCTGACAGTATACACAACAGGGCAGACAATAGATAGACATTTCCATTGACCTGCCCACTCTTGTTATTTGTACTTCCCTTCCCCCTACAATCACTTCTCCGTTCACCTTCTCAACAAATTAAAAATAATCTTTGCACTTGATAAAGCGCCTTCTCATGTCATTAACACGTCTCGAAGCGTTTCACAGAATATACTGTAAAATGAATTGACTATATTTTGTGGGTGAAATGCGGCAGCCAATTGCGCACAGCAATGCCCCACAAACAACTGTGGATTGAATGACCAAATTATTATATATTCCTTTTTTAAGGGATTATTACCTCCAAAAAAGTGATCCAACAATTAGGTTGTTAGTTATTGCTGGGTAAACAAAGGCGTGTGGAATAAGGGAACTTGGCTAAGGTATTGATCGACCCAGGAATCAAACCCAGGTCCTCTTGCTTGCAAAGCGAGTGCTCTAAACCATTACATTACAGGACTCCACTTTAAAATCCGATTTAAAAAAAGCAAAATTAGAAGAAAATCTAAATTCTTTGCATCTAGTACCAAACTTGGGAGCCTGAACTCTTAAAGCACATTAATCTCATCATAAAGTTGTCATTCTATCCAGGAATTCTCTCAATTAACATTGTACACTTCCATTTAAGTCTGTAAAACATTGGTGTAGTTGTACTTTTTTTAAAAAAAGTAGTTAATTTTTCTTAACTTGTTTGTAAATTTGTTACCAGGGTGGATCATCAGAACCCATTAGTTTAGATGTTATGTATCCAGTAACAGTAAAACTCTCATATGTCTGATCTGTATAAACCATATAATCACCTAAGTCTCAGATGCCCAAGTCCCTTTCAACAGTTTCTATTCTATGCAAGTTTGACATAATTCATAATTTACATAAGTCATATTAAATGTATGGTCCCAACTGATATAATTTATGTGAGGTTTACTGTATATAAGTAGTTACTGCACACTACTGAAACTATGAGTGGTACAAGTGACTTTCTTAAAAGAAAGAACATCACATGGAAAGAGAGTCAGTGAAGTAAACTTCTTTTAAACCTTATTACTAAAATCTGACCGATTTTAATTCATTTAACTGACAGGTATCCAATGCAGACAATCAATCTTACGCATTAATTCTTAAGATGTTATTGGCATGACAGTCTACAAAACCAAGTACATCATCTCCTCTGGGCTAAAAAACACACTAACTAAAAAAACCTTAAAACAGTTCCTTCAACCACAGTAAATCCCCGGTGCTTACTTGGAAAGAAACAAAAACATTAAAAATCTAAGACATTCACTTTAGCAGCAACACTGTCAATTTCCACTGTAAAAATTATCGGAACTGAACATTTAATTACAGGATATTCAGTAATACATTCACTATCGGTATCTAGATTGGTCAGTCCCTTATTGGTACAGTATATAAGTCTCTGGTATGAACCGTGAGCATTCACTCTTGAGTTTCTGTTCCATATCTGTCTCTTGAATAACAGGGCACTCGCTCGCACAGTAATTGCCAATTCAGGTTAGTACGGCACAGGCACACAGTGACATTTGAGGTAAAGCAAAATAAAAATAATACCTAACACAGAAAACAGTTCCCAAGCTTTCCAAACATGTGCAAAGTACTGTACAATAAACAGTATGCAATTAACTCTTTCGATGCCTCGTTATTTTTTCTCCTTTTTTCTTCTTTCTTCTTCTCAATGCTGATTTAGGCAAAGGAAGGGAATAAAGGGATGAGAGAATAAAATAAATTTGGGGGTGAGTGAAAGGATTAGATTAGGTTAATCAAACGCCATGAACAGTCAGCCCCTGTATTCGGTGGCATTAAGTCAACCGTGTTTCTTAACATGATGGGTAATGAATCAGCACATAATACAACCCACGTTACACAACGCTGTTAGTTAGTTTACTTCTCAACAGAACAATAAGGGGGAAATGTCTTTACAAGTCTGACAACATCAGTGCCTCCACAAGTTGGAAGTAATTGTAATGGAAAACAATCTAAAGCACTGCATATGCTCACATTTAGTGTACACCGCATTACAGTTTCTAAGTCATACAATAACGTGCTCTAAGCTGTTATAAATAGTAATGCTGCAAGAACAGTCTTTCAAGCTTAGGAAATGAATATTAGAACCAACTCACTGGCCTTTTTCAATCAGATTCCTTCCTGGATGGAATCTCAAGTCCTGTGTCTTTAGTAGACAATTCAGTACAACACAGCAGGTCACTGCTTGGGAAAAGGTTATTATCAGACTCTTTCTGTTTCCAACCCAAACCAGAAACTAAATGTGGGCACTGCCCCTATTCCTATCAACTCACTTGTTTTATCCTCCTTAGCTGTGAGGGTTAACATATTTCGGGTCCTTTTATAACAACTGTTTTTGCCTTTGCCAGTTGATAAGGAATTTCTTAGCTAATTGATGAGTAAAATTGAGTGAATTATCACTTGGAAAAACAGTATTCTAGAACTTCCACTTGTTAGAAATCAGATGGATTGATTTATAATCTGCCTCAAAAGCGTCAGTAGTAAATAATTTGCATGATTATTACTCTATAGATTTCAGCCTGTGCGTGTATATGGCCTGTCATGATCACATATTCATATTTTATAGTTTCTGTCACAAAGTAAAATTGTGTGATCAGTGGGCAGCTTTAAAGGCGAAACCATCTGCTCAGAGGAAACTGTTTAATGTGTGTTATTCTCCTGAAATCAGGTATTGCACTGTGTGTGGAGTCAAGCAGTTTGCTTCCAAGAAAATGCATGATTTTTGTTTTATAACTTCTAACAACTGAGGGAAAAATTGTAGGCTGTCTGTTAGGGAATATAGGGGTGGAAGGAACCGGAGTTAAGAGTTTTGATGAAACAGTAGCCAGCGTTAGAGCAACATTTCCCCTATAATAACATGAGAAGATATCAAGTGTTGTGTGTTGTATTAGGACCAGTATCTTATCTTCTCTCTCTGTCTCTTTCTATGTGTCTCGCTTAATCTAAAGCAACATTTCCCCTATATATATATATTAACATAAGAAGATGTCAAGTGTTGTGTTGCCCATTCTGAGTAATAGGAGTAATTTTTTCCAATGACACGTCCGCCTCGCAGTCTGTATTATAGCCAGACTGGAGACTCACAGCCCCGTGTAGGGAGGCTGGCGAGAGTTTTCGCGGGCAGCAGTGGTGCGGGTCAGGAGCATTGCCCGCCTCGCAAGACACCGGATGCGGAATCAGGTAGACACAATTGCCGAGTACTTGCTGTTGCTGCTGTCCCGAGGGCTCAGGGTTACAACCAGTCACACCATTGTTGTGGATAGTTACAGTTTCCACCGCGTTGCCTGAACACAGCCTGTGACAGCCCAGCAAGGTGGAGAAAGCCTTGCGGAAGTCCGCGTTGAAGGCGTAGATGATGGGATTGAGCGAGGAATTGGCCCACCCGAACCATACAAAGATATCAAATGTGGTGTCACTAATGCAAGGCAACTGGTCCTTGGTGCTGACTCTCCCTGGGTGCTCACAAAAGGGCACAATGCAATTGAGGATGAAAAAGGGCAGCCAACAGCATACAAAGACCCCCATGATCACCGACAATGTCTTGAGGACTTTGGTCTCTCTCTTGAAGGACATCTTGAAAGAGCTCTCTGACTGCTGCTGTTGTTGTTGTTGTTGCCCATCCAGGCTGCCGCTCTCACAGCTGGTCTGGCAGTTCTTGGCATGTACGGCAGCCCTCTCTAATGCCGAGATGCGCCTGATCTGCTTCTGGGCAATGCGGTAGATCCTGGTGTAGGTGACCAGCATGATAGCCACTGGGATGTAGAAGCTGATCAGAGAGGATGAGATAGCATAGGTCCTATTCAGACTAGAGTCACAGTTGTCCACTCTGCCCTGACCCTGGTAGCTGACATTGTAATCCAGTAATGTGGAGGTGGCCTTAGCCTTGTGCCAGTCTAGCTGAACTGGGATGAAGGAGATCAGAACTGAGAGGGTCCAAGCCACACCAATCATAATGAAAGCCACTTTGGGGGTCATTTTGCGCTCGTAACGAAAGGGGCTGGAGATGGCCCAGTATCTGTCTACGCTGATGACACACAGGTTGAGGATGGACGCTGTGGAACACATGATGTCGAAGGCCACCCAGATGGTACAGAAAGAGCCAAAGGGCCAATAACCAGCCACCCCACTCACCGCTTTCCAGGGCATGACCAACACTGCAACTAAGAGGTCAGACACGGCCAAGGAGATCACGAAAAAGTTGGTGACTTTGGACCTGAGATGGCGGAATCTGACCACAGCCACACAGACCAGGGTGTTGCCCAACAAGGTGGAGAGGATCAGCAGAGAGAGGAAGCAAGCTGTGAGGATGCGAAAGGAAGAGTCCTTGTCTTTTGTCGTCACAGATCTCCCATCCATAGTGGTGGTGATGATGGTAGTGTTGAGTCTCATTATTGCTCCCTTGAGTCAGGCTCCATCTACCAGGTCTCCATCCTCATCCCAGCCACACACACACACACACACACACACACACACAGACACACACACACAGACACACACACAGACACACGGTGGTGGGGGAGAGGCGATCAGAAATTGCTCAGAAAAGTCTTTGACTTGAGGGTGTAAAATTGTGGACAATTCATCAATTCAATGCTGATTTGGAAGCTGTTTTTTCTGCATTTTTTGTTATTGTTATTAATAATAATAATCATTGCATTTTCATGTGGTACCTTTATCACGTTATCAAAACGCCAAAGTGTTCCACAGCGATTAGAGAGTCCTTGAATTGAGAGGGTTTTTCTTTCCTTATTTTTCATAGCTCCATCATCACCACCACCACCAACACCAACAAGAAGAAGAAGAAGAAGCCAAAAACGAGGGAGAAAGGGTCCTACCTTCAAACCATGTCCGAGATCCCTGGCTCGGATTTTGCTACCCCAAAAAAACGCACAAATATACACAGTAACCGTTTCCAGCTCTGATCATAATTCTAACACTATATACAGTGTCGAGTCCCGACCAAAACAAACAGCGAGTTGGAGGGAAAGTATAAACTGATATGGATTGGTCTCACTCGGTTGTAGAGGATTTCAGAAATTCTTCAGGGGATGAACACGAGCTGACAGCCCTCTCTGCTCACACACAGATCCTGTAGCAGTAACAATAATAATAGGTTATCGATTCTCCCCAAAGAGACTGTCCACATTTATCGCTCCTCTCTCGTGTCCGCCGGAGCGCGGGTCCACCTCCCACTGTCCGCTTCCCGATGTCCATCTCTCCCTCGGTTTGGGCGTCAGATAACGTCAGATACTCGGCGCCCATCACACTCTGACGTCCCTTTTATATAAAAGGAGTTATAAATAGAGATCGAATGAAAATATATTGTCATTGTGACACAACCCCCACAAAGCTCCTTCCCGATTCCTCTCCAGACACACACAAATATCCTATTTGTTTCATTCGCATAATAATAATAATTAATGTTCCCATTACATCCTCTCGATCATTGGTAAAATTCAAGCAGTTACAGTGCGGGACTTCTTTGTGTATGTTTTAAGGATTTAAAATAATTGCAACTCGTTATCCGTATCCATTGGGAGTATCCACACTATATGCCACGGTTTTGCGGATGGAGAGTCAGGACTGTGGGCGGTTTTCTTTCTCTAAGCGATTTAGGTTAAATCTCCAACTGGGGCTCTGCAAACACATCAGCACTCACACAAGGAACTGCATCCACTCTCGTCCACTGTGAAGCTCACCATCGCCTGTCACTGCCGGACATCCGAACCGGGCACCAGAAAGGAAATTGTACGTTTCGATTTGCTCAGAGGTGTGATCCCACAGAGCTTTACAGTGTCCATCGTATTTACTTTGCTCGAGTCAGAGAAACCATCCACTGCACACAGGGGAGTTCTGTGTTAATAACTGCAAAGTGCGTTGACTTCCAGACCCACAATAAACATTGGAGAGTAACACCGCTCTCCCGGTAAGTGCAGTGTCTCAGACAGACAGCCTTCTCTCGCTCAGCTAAGACGGCAGCTCTAATGCTCTTGTTGTCATTTACAGAGTGAGTGACTGTCACTCACACCGTCTCGCTGACCTATGGGTCTGTTTGCTCCCACTCTGAGGGTCTGTCTTAATGACTGACGACCACTCGGGATGGTGTGTATCCTGCGCCACCCTGTGGAGCACAGCCACCACACTCACCACCCAAAGATGCACTCAAATCTCCTAGAAATGTTCCCCTGGTCTGAGCTTGCAAACCCATTTGGTCTTAAAATGTTATGATCATGCAGAATTGTGGAACATTCTTACCCCAGATTTTTCGATTTTAAAAAAGTTATTCTTCCATAACGCCATCTCAATCAGCTCCTTCATCCAAGACCGTCAAACTCCGCTTCCTTGACGGCAAACAACGAAAAACATCTTGGATGTACTGTACTATTAGGACCATAAGAAAGAATGGAGCAAGAAAAGGCCTTTCATCCCACCAAGTCTACCCAGTACACAAATACAGTAAAAATTTACCTAATGCTACATTTCGCTCACCTACCTATTCCATCTCTGAGGGTAAGTGCTACAAAATAATTCCTTGAGCCTCAAAAAGTGCCAGTAATAATTACATAACAATGATACTCCTTGCATTTGATATAGTTCCTTATCACATCGCTGAATAATCCAGAGCTCTGCAGCCCGTGTCCTCTCCCGTACCAAACTCCGTGACCCCATCTCCCCCACTCTCACCCAACTCCACTGGCTCCTTATCCTTCAGAGGATCCAGTTCAAGATCCTGGTCCTCACCTACAAAGCCCTCCATGGCCTTGCCCCACTCTACCTCTGCAACCTCCTAACCCCCTACCAACCCGCCTGTTCCCTCCACTCAGCCGGCTCCGGCCTGCTCCACGTCCCCTGACCCACCCGCCCCACCATTGGCGGGAGAGCCTTCAGCCACTCTGTCCCCAACCTCTGAAATTCCATCCCCCAGTCACTCCGCCTCGCCCCCTCCTTAGCCTCCTTCAAGTCCCACCTCAAGACCCTCCTCTTCGACCATTGCCCTCGGCCACCCCCCTTCCCCTCCTCTTCCCTCCCTTACCCCCCCAACCCCAGCTCGGGTCTGAAATGCTGTACTCTGTCCAGCGCTTTGGGATGTCCTCCCGACGTGAAAGGTGCTGTGCAAATGTAATCTTGTTGTTGTTGTTGATGAAACATCTCAAAGCGCTTCATAGCAGATACTGTAAATTGACTGTATATATCATATATATATATCATGTTGCTAAAAAAATTTCTAAATATTCCTTCACATTCAAGTTTCCACTATTCCTTTCATTCCACAGACTACATTTTCTGCACTCTACTTAGCAATACAGTACCAGCCAAGCTCTGTGGGGGCCTAAGTTCATGTTTAATCTGCACCTATTCCTAGGCTGTAACCGTCAACTCTGTTCTCAAGCAGACACTGAGCTAATTATTTTTGAGGATTAAATTAACACAGCATGAATTGTTTTTTTTAAGTACAATCCACATATTGACTGCTTTGTGGTCTCATCCGCCGTATTTTCAGCTTAAATTCTGTCCTCTCAATGTCAAAGTCTGCTTACAATTACATAAACTCATTGCTTTAGAAGACATCGATCATGGCATTTCAATCTTTATTTTTCAATACTGTGACATTTATTTCTGCTCTCCTCACATCCCTAAATCCTCAACATCATCTTTGTTGCTCTTTTCTGTTCCCCCATTCAATGCTGTTCGTGGGATAATTGTTGTGTGCAAATTGGCTGCCATGTTCACCTACAAAATACACGGTCCCTATACTTTACAGTATATCCTTTGAAACGTTCTGAGACAACCTCTTGGCCTAAAAGGCACTATATCAGCAACAACAACAACAACAAAGTTACATTTGTATAGCAACTTTCACTTTGGGAGGACATCCCAAGGTGCTGGACAGTCAGTGTTTCGGAGCCGAGCTGAGGGTCAGGATTGGGGATGGTGGAGGGCAGGGGAGGATGGAGGGTGATTGAAGGCACGGTCAAAGAGGAGGGTTTTGAGATGGATCTTGAAGGAGGCAAAGCAGGGGGCGAGGCATCAAATGCAAGGATTATTATCAATCACCTAGGTTTAATATCATCAGAACATTTTCTAATATTATTAATCTCTTCTAAGTCATTAAGGAACAGCAGAGAACCCAGAATGGAAGTCACGATCTAATTCAGGTCATTTCAGTTTTTCAATCACTTCAGATCCCATTTAGAATTACTAAACTTGGCTAACTTACTAAGTAATAGTTGTAAACGTTCCAATTAGAGCCATTTCAGTCTCTTAATTATTGATCTTCAGTTGTTGTCAAAAGAACAGCAGTTTGTTGATTATTTTTTATGCTAACTTCAGAGAAAGCATTTTTCTTTTGGTTAGCCATGTGTCTGATACATGCAGATACCCATCACCATTGCTTACGAGTATCCAAACCAAACTGAGAATTCTATGTATCCCACCTACACAAGGAAATCCTAGAGATCACTTTTTGGAATGGAATGTACACTCTCTCCATAGAGGGACGTATCCTGCTTACCCAATTCCGAAAAGTATTAGGTGCAGGTTGGCAGGAGCCAAGGCTTTCTTTTGCATAACATAGAGATTAAGCATTGTAAGAAGCTGGACAGGTATCTGGAAGGATGGAATTAAATTGGTCTTCTTCATTTGAATTTCTTTGGGGATTTTATTTTATTTGCTTGTAAAATCCAAACTTTTTATAATTTATTTCCCATTTAACAGGCAAATCATACAGAGGGCCTATGCAATCTCTGCTGTATACACAGAGCATCGTAAATAAACCAGGGTGAAATGTCTCTTGCCAAATCGTTTTAGCAACTTTACGAATGTAAATAAGGTTAAAATAAAAATGGAAAATTATAATGAGAAAATAAGTACACGCTGTCAAAGTCTTCACATTTAATGGCAAGAAAAATCTATCAGCATAAGGAGGAAGGTGATAAAACTCTCCTGCCGCTAAATGCAATAACTTTGATGATTCCAAGACCTGTGTAAGTGTAGCAACTTTGATGATGTACATTTAGAATGGGAAGTGATTAAATCGCTTAACCCCAAAATGAATTTCATCTCCTTCCCCAATGTTTCGTAATGTAAATTTCATGCAACAAATGGCTGTGGAATGAATTTCAACATCCATGAAATTATGCTGAAATCAGGTCAGTTCCTTTACATAAAATTGTGTTTCAAATTCACTCACATATTGATCAATTTAAATGAAGTTGGGAAGCAAGATAGATTTATGAGGGGACTCAAGAAATTATAAAATCTCATTCCAATCCTTCTCCAACCACTCATCCCAGAACAAGAGATTGGAATAAGTGCAGAATACTGGGTAATAACTGGAGAGAGGCTATTTATTCAAAACATCTGATCAAGATGTAGATTTAACAAAGTCTCAAGAGGGGTTTAATTTCAATGCACCTTTTGTGAAATGTAATGG